CGTGGGGAAGACCCCTCCCTCCACCCTGGTCCCAGGAGGGGACATGCACAGAGGTACCCTGTGTTCCTCCTACCTCACGTGCCCTAGCACCAGGGCTGGTGGCCAGACCTGCCTTTGCCTCTGCCTGCAAGGGCGCAGCCTCCTTGGGCTCTGCCAGCGCAGGAGCAAACAAGGCAGTGGCTGCAGGGCAGGTCCCTGCTGGGGGATCCCCTCGAGCTGCTGTGTCACCTCCGAGAGGAGGGCTGTGTCACGGGGCGGCTGGGTGGGATGGCATCACGGGGCAGGCACGGTGCAGCCGGGGCTGACCAGGCACAGGAGGCAACGTCCCTGTGGACAGAGGAGACGCGACCGGGGACTGCCTGGGCACATGCTGGCACTGGGCTGCTCCAGGGATGGGCATTGGCACGGCCACAGGCACCGTCAGGGCAAAGGTGGCAGCCCGGACCCCCCGGCACCCGCAGGGACGGGCACACACTCGCCACGCGCAGCCCGCAGCATCTGCCTGGGCAGGCGAGTCCCATCCAGCACCAGGGAGGGGAAGGGGCACAAGCTGCTTTGCCCGCTGGAAAACATCAGAGCGGGGCAGGAGCCCAGTGGGGTCCGGCCACCGGGGATCTGAGCCTGGCGAGAGGAGCTGCCACTTCCCCCACAGAGGGGGAGAGGGACGAGGGCGGGATGGCCTGTGCTGCCGCTGCCGGGGGCCGCGAGACGCCCCACCGTGCCGTGCAGGGGGAGGCTGGTCTGGTTAAACCCATGTTTGATCCCTCGCGGGACACATAGGACAGGCCACGCAGGGTGCAGGGACGAGCTCATGTCAAAGAGTTGTCACCATTAAGATCAATAAAATTCATTTGAGGTCTTTTTTCCCTAAACCAATTTTGAGTACTCCTGAGACAGGGATCTACCAATTTAGATGAAAGTGAGCCCAAACCAAAGGCAGTCTCCGCAGGGCAGGAGGTGGCAGGCGCCCCTTCCCCAGCCCCCCCATGGTCACAGCTCAAGGGATTGTGTGGAGATTTGTACCCGCTGGGACGTGACCAGCCCCAACACCAAGACCCACAGCACCGTCCCATGCAGCCGGTACCGCGGCTGCAGCAGGAGATGCTCAGCCAGGCCAGACCCCGGCAGGCACAGCACGGGGGGCACTGCCGCGAGCGGGGGCACCGCTCCCGTGAGCCCAGGGGAGCCACCAACCCCCACAGCCCCAGTGTGCCTCCCTGGGAAAGCACTGCCGGGGGGGAACACCAAGTGCACCCCTTGTTCCCCACTCCTGCAGCCCCCTCAGGGCCCCTCCTTGCCTGCAGCACTGCTCCCAGGTGACAAGGGACCTGTGGTGACGCCTGCTCCCACCCCAGGAGCCCAGAGCCACCCTGCTGTGGGCAGCACCCCTCCTGTGTCCCCCGCAGCACAACAGGCAGGAGGCAGCACGAATCCTCCCAGAAGCTGCACACGAGAAGCGCTAGCATCATTTCTGCCCTTTTTTCTCCTTCTTTTATCAACTCCGGTGCGTGCAGCGAGGCAGGGATGGGGCAGCGCATCAACACCCCCGTCTCCCCAGCCCGGCAGCCACTGCGAGTGCCGGGGCAGCTGCCACCAGCCCTTTCGGCGAGTTGCAACCCAAACGCGCCGAAGTTTAGGGTTAAATTCAGCGTTGCCAGATTTGGGAACTGAAAAGCAGATTTTGGCTGCTGCCGGCACACAAGCGGCTCAGCTGATCGCGAGGGGTTTGTTTGTGTTGCCAGAGCAGTGGCACCGGGGAGAGCGGCGCTGAGCCACTCCGCGCCTCCGGCTCTGAATTAGCCCTTTTTCTAGACACAGCCCTAATCCCTCCCGACATGCCCCTCCCGCACGCTTCCATGGGGCACAAGGCGGGCGCAGCGGCCGGGACCCCTGGCACGTCCTGCAGAGCCAGCGTAGGACGTGCTGTCCCCAGAGCACGAGGCCTCAGCAAGGCCACGGTGTGGGGCAGGCCAGCACCGTGCGGGAGGGAGCTGGAGCATCCCTGCTCCGTCCCCATCGCCCAGTACCTGTGGGTACCTGGTCCCCCAGTGCTCACGAGGAGGCAGGGCAGGATCCTGGTTTTGGGGCAGGTCGTGACCGCGCTGTCCCCTGTGCTTATGTCCCTGCATGAAAAACATGCCTCGGGCTCGGCGCTGCACCTCCTGTGCTTCAGGGGACAAACACAGCACCCGCTCCCTGCCCTGCCCGTCCCCTCTGTGTTTCCACCCTGCCCTGGATGCTCCTGGCAGCGCTGGCACAGCCCAGCAGGGACAACTGCCAGCCCAGGGCTCAGCTCCGCTGGGTGCACGGGAAGGCGCAGGGGGTACATGGGAGGGGGGGGCTCAGTGGCCCCCGGGCATGGGGAGCCCAGCACCCAGGAAGGCCATAAATATGCAAAGCGCTAATCGCGCTGTCATGGGAACACAGCGCCTGATTGGAACAGGGATAAATATTTAGACAGACGCTGTCAGCTCGCCAAAATTTGGCGTTTTTAATATATGTTAGCTTATTTAAATAGAGAACAGGTTTCCAGGATTTGAGCCTCCCAGCCGAGGGCAGGCGGGATGGGCGCACGCCGGCAGGGGGGGGCAGCACCAAGGGGTGACCGGGGGCAGCTGCGGCTCCGCGCCCCTGTGCCGGCAGGAGATCCCTTCGCAGCGAGGGCTCAGCTGATTGATGCCGCCACTCTAACCCAGCATCTCGCTGCTAGCACCAGCTATATTTATTAACGTGACATCTTCCTCTGCCAACCCTTTGGGGACAGCGCTGGCACGGTCCCCGGGAGGCTGGGAAGAGCCTGTGGCTCCTCGCAACCAGCCAGCCTGGCTCAATGCTCATGGCAGCCACCATGCCAGGAGGGGCCCAGGCCCTCACCCCCCTCCCCTGCCTCCACGCAGCCCACGTGGGTTTTGCTCCCAGCTCCCCGAAACCAGCCCAGCTCCCCGCTTACCTTCCTGAGCCCGGAGGAGCGGAGAATGGAAGCAAACCCAAACCTGAGCCTGGAGAGAGCAGGGCCGCGGGGAGGACAGGGCCAAGCGCCCCCGGCTGCCCCCGGGGTGGCGGGTGCCCACCGCAGCCCGTGGGCTGGCAGCG